ATAATAATAATAATGGCAGATTAAGGAACATGAACGTCCGGTTCTCAGAGTTCGTCTTTCTTCTAGTCTGGTGGTGAGAAAGGGCTATCAGCAACTTTCTATTTATGTTTGGAAAAAAAAGGAGTGAAACCTCTATCCCTGTATCCAACATGCATTTACTGATTCTTTTTTCAAATACGTTTGGTAAGATATAGGCAATTTAAAACTCCGAAAGCCAATTCCTCCTCTGTGGCAATTCTGCGGATTGCTTTTGCGGATTGCCGCTGTCTCCTCTGTAGCAATGCGTGCCTACTCCACTGCGGCAATGTGTGATGGCAACCCTACAGCATACATGTGAATAGCTAGGCGCTGTCGTCAATGTAAGAAGGTAGCCTATGAATTGATGTGGTCCTCTGGTAACACTGTTAACGCTACACATTTACACGTATTCTGTGTATTCGTTATGACGACTCCAATTGTTATACTAAATAATAAGACGTTAGGCAATAAATCTTCGCATTTTGAGCATTGTCATATCTGTTAAAAGAAAAAGATATGACAATATGAAATAAATAAAACAACACCAAAATAAATAAATAAGTCCCACTCCCCTTAGGAAAATCCTGAATTCTCCAACTCTCTCCACACATTGAAATGTAAACAGTCAAATGAATAACACACCTTTCAATATGCCCCGTCATACAGATTATTCTCAAGGTCGAGAGATTAGGTCTATTCAAATATTCTTCCTCGGCAAAATACTGCGTAGGCCTCATGTAAACAGTAGATATATAGTACATGTACTACAGTGTATGATTCAGTTGATAATCGCCTGGTAATTTTACTAGTAATGTAAATTATAAATAATGATGACGATAGCAGTAGTATGGTGGCCCCTATTGGATATTTCGACTTTTCGAGTTTTTGACTTTTCGAGTTTTTTACCAGTCATATGGCAACTGGCTGCGCGTAGGAGCGCGTGCGCTGAGATGACGTCGCGGTCGAAATTTTGTAATTTTGTTCAAGAATTCACTTTATTCCCTGCATAAGTACCTGGTGAAAATTAAGACATGGTAGCAGAGTTTATTATGTGTATCATCGTGTGTGATTTACCTAGAAGTAAGAAGCAATGAATGAGGTAGATCTCGACGAAGTCGGCCAACTGGTCACTTTTAAATTTGGCCATAGCGACACTAACATTTTTAGACATCTCATGTCACAGAAACTGTGCAACTTATTCACGTCAGTGGAAGGTGGCTTTTTGCATGAGAAAATCGACTATCAAGTTTCATTAAAAACTAACCTGGGAACTTTTTTTACCAGTCGGGAAAAAAACTCCGATATTACTTATAACAAGGAGTTATACCTCCTTGCTTATCATTATTACTTATTAATTACTTATAATAAATGGGACCTTAGGGCTGGAGTGTACAAACTGTTATGGTTTATTATTATATCGTTTGGCAGAGAGGACAGACGTTCACTGGAATGTCATTTTCACAAGCCAGTTGGGACGTTTTCTTTCGACTTCTAGGACTAGGTGATTTATCTCTAGGGTGTGTAATAAAAAGCCATCTATCATCGCTAGAAAATAAAACTCATGGCGACCGTCCTCAGTCACCATCCCATCACCTCTTTCTATGATACCATTCCCTTCCAGCACATCGTCCAAATAATCACCTCTGAAAAAAAATCGTCAGCATACAGCGCCGCTTTGACACTACCGATCTCGAATTCTAACGCGATATAACGCACATGAAATCAATCTCCAAGCTGAGGAGAGCGACGCAGACGAAACCCTTGAGACCGGAGCCCCCCCCCCCCTCCCCCCACAGACATCGGACAATAGAGAGGCTTACGTGTAATCTCCTTCTGCTATAATTCCTTGCTTATCATTATTACTTATTAATTACTTATAACTTATTTTGTCTTATGTGAACTTTTTAACAATTATCGCAAGTGTATTTTTATTTTAAGAAAATCTATGCCAATTGGTATTTGCCTCAGTGAGACTTGTATGAAGTGACAAATGAAAGAAAAAACAACTACATGTATGTACATATATATATATATATATATATATATATATATATGTGGTAATTTATTAGCAACAAAATGGGCATTTAGACCATTATGCCCATGAAACAAAAGAATTTATTGCACATTTCAGGCATGCAACCACTTCTTAAATGCTCGTACCAATTTCAACATTTAATTTAAATTTAAAATTAAAAAAAAATCATATGATAATAGTAGCTTCTAGCAGATGTATCTTAAATCAAGTTTTTCTAATTAAAATGTATCTGTCTTGACGGGAGTGTACCCCTCAGCTAAATACTATTTTAATTTTACAGTAACATCACAATAACCTTGATGTTCTCAGCAGATGAGATCCTAGTATTAAATAATTTTTAATCAGTTGAATTTAAATTGCACTGATGTCACTTTCCATCTTTATTCATATCAGGCTTTATCTTTGATAATAAAAAAGCAAAAAATCCATGCTGCCACCAGACAATGGCAACACTAATATATGCAGACATGATTTTAGCATATAAAATACCCCAAGCTAATTATATAATTGTACAGTAACATCTAGGCACATGAGACATTCAACCATTTGAAATTAAACAACAGGCAAAAAAATAATACATAAAATGTCCATCTCTTGTCTCTTCTTAACAGCAAACAGTACTAATTCCTTATATATGTCCTTTTAATAAGAAGTATGTGGCCCTTGCAATGCTGTTATCTGAAAAATGAAACAAAGCTCATTTTAAAAATTATTTCACACAAATTCATATTTGAATGTTTCAAAGGTTTTATATTCCAAAGCAACTTTCCTCATTAAAATTACTTGCTTAACCATCCACCTTTACATATATGCAATTTCTGTACTACTGTATTTCACACCTTGGCTGTCAGACCATAGCAGAATCCATAGTTTATACATGGACCTAATTAGGTCCATGGTTTATACAAGGTATGTGGGCAGTCAGCTGTAAAGGTGTTGTTATGGTTAAGAGTTTTATAAAAGTTGTTGAAGACCTCTCACTTCCTGTCTCTTTTCATTTACTGAAAAATATAAATAGCACATTAGTAATCTGTCTTATCTAAATAAAACTCAACCGATTAAACAGCTGCAATAATAAAATCTTCATTTTACTCCGACAATTAAGAAGGTTCTTTAGATAGAGTGTAACTCTACCCTTGATAAATCATAGCATTCATTGAAAAATTGAGAAGTTCAGATCATGGTGAAAAGTAGGTCAAAGGTCAACTTCAAGGTCTCAGTGAGATTGCCAGAATATGACCTCCTATACAAGTTCAATAGTAACTATATGGGCATATCTCTACCAGTTTTCGAGATATAAGGGATAGAAAATTTGCAAAGTTCAGTTCAAAAATATATTTCCATGTAGGATTTGTGTCTTTATTATAAAGAATAAAACTGTAAGGCACTCTTAGTTTTGTTGTACCACTCAATGAGAAAAATACAATTAAAAAAATATGAATTAAAAAATACAGTTGGTGTAAAATTCAAAATTGTCTGTGATTTTTCATTGAAAAAACCAAGTACCTAGTCCACTGGATTTTGATTAAATGTGGTTCATTTTTTAAAGAAATTTCGACTTGCCCCATTAAGAACATACAATTTTGTTGTTGAAGACATATATCTTTGTAAAAGTGTGCAACCCAAAGCAACAAATTTTCAAACCCAAAATAATTCTGTAGAAACACTTAATGAAATACGAATATATAATAAAATCAAATCAAAGCCTATGATCAAAGATTGTCATCTAGATTGAATCATCTATTATTGACATTTCAATCTAAAAGTGTGCAGCCCAAAGCATTCATATTCTCTAACCCAAAATAATTATGTTAACACATCCAGTGAAATTTTACGGAAATCAGCTTTGACATCAAGATTGGGTCATTTATTATTGACATATCAATCTCAAAGTGTGCAACCCAAAGCATTCAAATTCTGTAGCCAGCTGAAAAAAGTCTGTGGTACATGTAGCACCATCTGATTGTATCATTTATTATATTACCGTTCAGTTAATTAAATTATGATACGGTTTATTTGGGTGCAAAGCTGAGGGACTGTGGAAGTATTCTATTCACACGTACTTGAATGAAGTCAAAAGTAAAAGATGTGTTGGCATTCATTAGGTGTGTGTGAAAGTTATCTTCCAGAGTTTCTCAATGGAAAATAAAAGACACAAATGTGACAAAATGTTATTTCGGCTAGTAATCTGTAATAAATATCTGATTCAAATTGAATAAATAAACTTTTCTGATTTTGGAACCGAGACGGCAGTTCTGTTGTTTCTGACTTACCGACGTCGCCCACTGATAAAATTTTGTAATGAAAATCCAAATATAGCAGTTATGTAAAAAGTCTGTGGTAGCCCCATCTGATTGTATCATTTATTTACGTTCAGTTAATTAAATTTTGTAATGAAAATCCAAATATAGCAGTAATGTAAACAGTTTCATTATTATTGTTCCTCCTGATTTCTTGGAAATAAAGCCTATTCAGCAGATTTCTCAAACTATGCCAACCTTAAAATGGGCAAAAAAAGAAAAAAATGAGCTTGGTATAATTGTAGCTTTTCTACCATGTAGTATGAAGATCACATTACCAATTCTAATATTAAATAAAATAAAATACTAGTTTAGTTTTACTCCAAGAATCAAGAAGGTTCTATAGATAGTGGGAAATTCTACCCTTGACACATTCAAAACAATAATCGTTCAATTTTCAAGAAGAAGAAGTCGGTCCTATATTTCTTAATTAAAAATGAAGGGCATTTCTAGTTTAATAGTGAGTCTAAATGACGTTTTAGGAATTTTTAGGAGTACCAAAATCCAGAAACAAAAAACTCGGCCTAATCCTCAGTGTCCTTTGACTCCAAAACGTGACAAAGGGGATTTCATGAACCTGCAATGGCCTCACTGTAGGGAACACCAACCTTTCACCCCTCTAAATGGGAAGAGCTCAATAACGTGACCTACATTTTACAGGCATTTATATTGATTTACCCACGCGGTAGCTGCAAGAATATCTGGAAGCTTCTAAGTCCGTATATATGCTGCAGTAGAGACTTAAAACATTGCATGGAGGAGACTTACAACACAGTAGGAGACACAGCGCTGCACTGGGGGGACATTCTGTCTATTTCCATATATTTCCTGGCCGTTTTATGCGTCGGATTATGGGTAAGGATTTGGTCATGGTTTCAATTAGTAATGTACATTGTGCGTGGTTTCATATGTTAAACATTAACCGCTTTTGAGAACAGCATTTATGGTTTTCAGATGAACATCTCTTTAATTTTTCATAACCCTTAAACCTGATTAAAATTGATCTACCTCTACACGTGACAGGTTCACACAGCTGCGTTACAGGTGTATTGTCCTTGTCCACATACTGTACATGTACCGCAGTGGCGGATTTAGAAGGGGGGGGGGCTGTACTGTTTACACCTAGTGGTGGTGCACCCATTAAAACCGGTGTCACGTGAAGAAACCGTCGTCGTGAATAAACCGTTCTGGCGGATTATTCACGCAGGGGTAGCAGTCTGTTGACTTACAGTACGTAGCTGCACATGCATTTCCAACATTTCTCCGTAGAGAAAGTTGTAGTATTATCAAACAAACAATTTCTTTTTAATGAAAATGACTGAACACTGAATTGAAAGAGCATTGTAGAGTGAAAAGATTTATACTACGAGTCTTAGATCTGCCACGTTCTTTACACAGAGCAAAACAGTTCAGTCACGATCAAAAGCTCACTTCCAACATTCCCCCGTATACTGTAGTAATAAGATTATCAAATACATACTCTCTCATGACGAAAACCACTGAATTATGAATTGGAAAATCATAGTTCAGTGCAAACATAGCGCGTACTTAGGACGACATCGTCATACCGGAAGTTACTTCTTTCAATCTACCCTCAATGCGCATGTGCAGAACGGTTTCGTCACGGCACGGGTCTATCACGCCACACCGGTTTCACAGTCTCTTTTGTTGTGTTCTTGCATGGAGACTGTTGTCAGAAAATTGGATTAGTCTTTTGGCTATTTTCAATACTTTTTTTCACCTATAATTATTCTACAGTAATATATGATGATAATAATCAATCAATAAAATACTTACACATAGATAGAGTACATTTTTCCTTGATTGTTCCAGCAAGGCCTTGTCTTGACGGTCTCAAATTTTCTTCAATAATTAAAAGCAGGCACAGCAAAACATCTTAATTTACAGATATAATATTCTGCCCTCATAGAAATTTATATTTCAAAGGACGCCATGAATAGTCTTGTGCAAGTATAGAACTAGAATTAGAAACAAATACCGCTAGTGAGAGTCGTGCAGAGTTGGCTTGATCCACATAGACTGATGTGAATGGGATAAAACCACTTGATAAAAACTTTAATACCCCACCCAGATTATTTTGAGGTGTGTGTGTGTGTGTTCCTTGATCCTGATTCTCTCTGTATTTAAAAAGCCCCCCTCACATACTCACACACACACACACACACACACACACACACTTTAATAGTGTGTTTGCACCCTTTCAATCCTACGTATACTCAGACAAGTCGAACCATCACTTGCTATCTTAGAGGTGCCAGGAGTAAGATTCAGTTACAAAGACAAGGGACTCTCATCTACAAAACTGACTGAAGATATCCATGTTGCAGCAAGTCCTTGGCAAAGAATCTTCAAAAGGAATCAATGGCAGAAAGCAAACAGCTGCAAAGTCAGAAAGAAAAATGGATGTGTTGTACTAATATGAGTATCTGCTTCTGTAATGACAAATGACTGTTGGAGGAGACAGAAATAGAACATTTTCTATAAATGTCTTGTCATTAACTACATGTAGTCCAGATTTCTACAGACCTTGCAGCTTGTGATAAATCAGAGAACTGATTAATAAAGTATCAATTACTGTAGTAGATGTGGTAATGTCTTGTGCACACATGTAAACGTTTCATCCCAAATGCACCTCACATTAACACAAGGTATTGCTAGTCGGTCATGATCAGTTGCAGGGTGGTGAGCTGCACATATCCCATATGGATATAATGTTATCTGGATATGGTCAAATGTCCATGTCAGCATTCCATTTTTATATTACCATGATTATAATATAATAATCTTCAAGGTACTGCCACAGTATCTCATAAAGCACTAATTAATGTATGAGAAAAATTGCTATAATTACTAGTATGCAGAGAAACTTAAAGGGATTGTTAGATTGACATCGTATATATATGTAAGCAGTCAAACTTTGTTGAATGTTCTCATACCCAGAGGGAGATGGATATGCTGCTTATACGTTCATTCTTAAAAGCTGTAAAAAGGCTAATTTCCCATGATCGAAGTTGTGCGTATAATTAATAGATTTCACATACGAGTGCAATACTCATATGCACCTCATTATTAGTACAATGCTCTGTACTGGTAATATGCTACATATATATATCTAGGTGTGGCAGAAAATTTGTAAAACCAACTTGTTTCACCACTGGTCAGTGGAAATTTAACATTAAAGACATTAAAAACATTGGCATTTTATTTGATCAGTTTTGCATCAGCAATGTTTCTCCATCTAAAACACACATTCAGAACCAACACATGGACACAACATACATCACTGATTTAGATTCAATATGCATTGCTTGATGAGTTTACCAGTCAAAAACAGTGATGGTAAGATCTTTACAGCAGCAGTGATGACATAGAGCTCATCCAGAACGGGGGACTAGCAGATCCATGGATCAGATATGGCTGACCGGTTACATGTCGATATGTCCCCGCACCGATACTCCCCCGCACTGGTACATCCCCGCACCAATACTTCCCCACACCGATACGTACTCCCCCACAAATACAGATATACTGAGGGGGAGTATCGGTGCGTTGATGTACTGGTGCAGGGATCCATCGGTGTTGGGTCGTATTAATGCACATAATACAAAAAAATTACTAAGGGGATTATTGGTGCGGGGGAGTATCGACATGACCCCAGCTGACCCACTCGAATGCTTATTGCTTTATCTCGGCAGGCAATCTATTCAGTGCCTTAAATCCTGAATTAAGCAGCAAGCTTTTTAGTGGTCTGCCATATTTGATCTGCAGATCTGTTACTGTAGTCCATTGTTCTGAATGTGCTCATTGACAAAGAATACCAGTACTAGCATAACTTGTTCAGTACGTGTAAATTATACTGGTAGCATATGTATCTTAGGAATACATGTACTGGTATATCCCTGTTGGCCAAAATCAGGCTAAAAATACTACTTATTAATAATTTTCTTGCTGCCCAAATATCCTGTAATATTCATGGATAATATTTGTAATTTTGTTGATGAAGTCACACATGTTTCAGTGGTTTAAGGGAGAAAGTTAAATTTTTTCATTTCTTGATTTTCTCTACTACCTGTGCTTTCAGCAGAGAAATTTCAAAAGCAAATAGGAACTTTGCATCAATATTATATTGGGGTGTAACCATATTTCTTAAAAGCAGATGGTTCAGATTAGCACATCAATAGCTTTAAACTACACCAATTTTCAATGGACAAGACCTCTGTAAAGAAGACCCCTAACCTTGGTTTTAAAATATGCTATCAAACATCTGCAACAGTCAATTGTTCTTTACATCTTTGTTAATAATTTTGCAAATTTTAGTGAATTTACATGCAGCGGTTATGGAGTTATCCACCAAACTTGCTTTCTACACCTAACTAAGTTTATGCGTCTGGGTAATTCAGCAGGTAAAAATGGCACCGTCACAGAATGAGAGTCCTACCTGTTATAATATATTGATCAGTACAGTCCCCTAGGATATGCCAGATATTATGATAGATTGAGACATGAATAAAAAAAAAACGAAGTAAAGAACTCAAATAAGGTCACATAATGATATAGTTCAGGGTATTGTTTTAACACCAAGAAAACACCAAGGGAAAATGTATACTAGATTATATTTGATGTCTGGTTCAGAATGGAGTTTAGTATTACATAATAGTATATTTACATTTTACATTTTCTCAAACAGTGTATTACTTGTGTAAAGGTAAAAACAGCTCAAAATGTCACAATTTTTTTCTCTGTCACTAATTGTTTTGTGCTCCCTTGATTCAATTTCTTTAAAAAAATTTGTGTTGATATCAAGTTATATAAATTTGCCTAATAAGAACTGTCACAGTAATAAAATTAAAATATTCTTCACAAATGCAGTAATGTCCTGCATTGTTTCCTAACATGATGTAATGTAGTCCTGACTAAATTCTGGTTATAATTTCGTTTCAGAGCTCCTGCAGGAACCGTGGCAGTGTTGGAGGATACTTCCTGGCGGGAAGGAACATGCACTGGATGCCTGTGAGTCATGGTTACCGTGGAGACATAATTTACTGTCAAGCTTTTTTTTCTGTGGAGTGGAGGAATGTTTTAACTAATCTGTTTGATAAATGAGAGAGACAGAGCAAAGATGCAATTTGAAGCTCCGTGGCTTTAATCCAAGAGGAAGTCTCATTTTGCAATGGCATCATACTATCACAGTGTAGGCTTGAGTCCAATTCACCATAGCAGAACAGTTAGTTACATATATATAAATTCCTGCTCGTTCTTTCAGGTGATTTTGTTCAGGTGAATAGGAAATTTCCACTGTGCAGAGAACTACATGGAAACTTTCCTGAATGCATTCACACGACTGCATTAAACACGATTGCATCATGTGACAGCCAGTCACATTGTGTGCAAATACCTCTGGCTTTAATTGAGACCATGTCTGCATAATTACCAGTCCTGAGACATGTCCAGCTCTCTCCCATGGCGCCATTCCTCAAACCTAGTAGTTCAACTTCAAAGTTTGCTGATCCTCAGACCAATCTAGTGCTTTCTCAAAGGCACAAGTCCTCAGGCCTATCAGCTGTCCCTCAAAGATATCAGTCCTCAGACCTATCAACTGTTCCTCAAAGGTATCAGTCCTCAGACCTATCAACTGTTCCTCAAAGGTATCAGTCCTCAGACCTATCAGCTGTCCCTCAAAGGCACCAGTCCTCAGACCTATCGGCTGTCTCTCAAAGGCACCAGTCTTCAGACCTATCAGCTGTTCCTCATAGGTATCAGTCCTCAGACCTATCAACTGTTCCTCAAAGGTATCAGTCCTCAGACCTATCGGCTGTCTCTCAAAGGCACCAGTCTTCAGACCTATCAGCTGTCCCTCAAAGGCACCAGTCCTCAGACCTATCAGCTGTCCCTCAAAGGTATCAGTCCTCAGACCTATCAGCTGTCCTTCAAAGGTATCAGTCCTCAGACCTATCAACTGTCCCTTATAGGCACCTGTTGTGACCTATCAGCTGTCCCTCAAATAGGCACCAGTCTTCAGACCTGATGCTAGCATGGTGCATATTATACTAGAAATATTGATAATTAGAAAACCACTTGTCCGGTAGCAGTTAATGCATCCTTTGCTGATAATAAATTAACCATCTTATTTCTTTTGCTGCTGTTTTTTTTAGCCATGGCATATTTACATCAGTGCTACTCAGTTACAAAATCTGCACTGTTTCAATTTAAAAGGGCAGGTTGTAAGAAACTGAGTTTTGACACTGCATGTGGAGAGAAGTATGATACACATATGGTGTTCAGTGTTTAATTTACAATTTGGAACTAGAGAGTCAGATGACTCGCTGACACTACAGAATACGAGTCATATTTTTAGTTTCAGGAGTCAAAATTTTCCCGCCTTTTTTTAATGGGTAATTTTAACTAGTAATGATGCGTACAACCATATATTATGTAAATAGATTGTATATGAATTGATGTTGTTTATTTGTAATTGTTGTATTCCAGACTTTAAGTATAGAAGTCTATCTACAGGAACTGAAGAATACAAAAAAAAAAAAAAAAAAAAAACAGCTTTTGTATAAGTAACCAAAGTGTATTCAACATATGACAACAAACACACTAACAGTCATACACAGGCCCGTAGCCAGGGGGGGTTCGGGGGTTCGAAAGAACTGCCCCTTTTGCTGGAAAAAGGTCCACTCTGGGTAAAATTTGATCTAGGTACATGAAGTTTTTATGGGAAAAGGCCCACTTTTTCAAAAAAGAACCCCCCTTTTGAAATTTCTGGCTACGGGCCTGATACAACTTCAAAATGATATGGACAAAAGTATGTATTTGATTTTTTTTTCTAACAAAAACCTTTTAAACAAAAGATTATTAACATGATTAAACCTAAAGGTAGATATATGAACAAAAAATCATCAAGATAAATGATAAATTAAAATTGATATGGATAAACTTTGTGTTGACTAGTAAAAAAAATTGTCAGAAATTATATGGACATAAATGGAAAACAAATTATATAGGACGAAATAAGATTGTCAAACACAAAAAGTAGATAAATGAAGACAAGGAATTTCAATAGATAATTGCTATGGCAATTACAAATTACATTCCAATATTCCAATCTGGAAAAATTATGTTTTGACTATTAAACATAAAAACAATAATAATTTACCTGTGATTTTATACACCTAGTGTAACATATTTTAACCATTTAGAGTAATCTCTGTCACCAGTTTGCGGACTAAACTATTTTTTAGGTCAAACCATTTTCATTTGGGTCTTAAAACACAATAAGATACTTAAATTGAATTTAAAAACCCGTACTGTGCCTATAGCAGCATTGTACTAGTAGTGTACTATCGGTGGCAAGTTGACATACTTTTTTGCAACACAACAACGATCGGAAACAGGCCTACTAGTAGGGTTTTAATCGGCAATATTACAACACTTTTGAAAGTAATTAGTTGTGGCTGTCATACATGAGGGTCAAATGACGCACTAGATCATATTTTTTTGCGTCAATTTTAGAATTCATGCGTATTTTACGCATGACGCAGAGGTAAATAAAACACTGGGTGTTCTTGTGTCTTAAATGCCTTCATATGCAGCCACCATGTCTTGGTTCTACCCGTAATTGTCTATCAATTCAATGTGTTGGGGAGAGTGTACTGGTATAAGGTTTCTAAGACTGGATTCCAACAGATTTAGATTGATCCATTTGGATCGCCCTTATTCCCTGGGGGTTCACGCTAAATTGCTGTCAGCTTCTGGAAGCCGAGCACGCAAGAAAGTTAATTACCCCCTTACAGCTTTTAGTAGGCGGGACAGACATTTAAGCGGATTAAACTGACAGCAATCTAGTGAGACTCACTAGGGGGATAGATCTATCTAAATATCTGTGGGCATAGTCTCTAAGACCGTATTCACAACGATTTGTGCCAGGCTTTACAAATCCTGGGACTAAATATGGTGGACGTACATGAAAGGAAAACCACCTAATCTTTTAATAGTCTTTCCGCCTCTCACACACCTCCCCACACGCCGTCCCTGCGGGGTACAGTCATTAAATCTCAGCTCCGTTGTGAATGCGGTATAAGAAACGATTTCTATATAGCGCCATTATACTATAATATATATAATGTATGATTGTATTCCAATGTATGTACAAGTACCAGGTTTCCTACAACCTCCTATCATTAAAGTTTTGGTCTTTTGTTGACTGAAAACATTGCAGATATCTTTGTTTGCTACATGTAGCTCCATATCTTGCATTAAGTAAATTTGTTCCGCTAAACATCAACAGTCTCAGTAGTCTTGACACTGTATGGTGCTTACATATATTTGCTGAGAGGTTTGAATGATAACATGAAATGACACCTTTGCCTTTTTATTTATTTGACCTTCAAAATTGCAGATAAGCAGTTGTTTGCTGATTTGAGTAGTTTTTCAGAAATGGCACGCATTAAGGTATAGATATCATACAAGACGCTGAGCTTTATGCAAAATAATGCAGATAATTGGCCTGTTGTTTTTTGACAGGAGAGTGCTTTAAGAGTATTCAGAAACAGTTTTTTTGATACATGTCCGGTTTGAATTGGACAGGTCATGGAATGAAGAATGAATATACATACACAGTAGGCTTTACTTACACAGATTGGGGTACTACATGTAGTACATCTTATTGAATATTTTTACAACTAGAAACAATTTATTAGCCTGGTTGTAGAAATGGATTTTATAATGTTTCATGTGTGGTGGTGACTCATTCCAAGGTGTGTCAAGTTCAACTAAATTCACCCCAAGTGATATGTAGACCTGTAAAAATACTGGTATATGAGTACTAGTATCTCTCTTGTAATCTCCGGGCTAGGGACATGAACTTTGCCAAGTTCAAGGCAATATTATTTGATGTGAAAAAAAATAAATACCTGTAGTGAACCAGTAAGCTGCTAGTAACATCCACTTTAGTTCCACCACATACCAGACTTAGTGTGCGGTAATAAATCGCTCTTTTCAATCCACAAAAATTATCAAACTGTCAGATTTTTTTTTTTTAATTAACAAAAATTATATTTCTGTATGACATAGAGTATCCTGCTGTTTCTACCACTCAACAGGATTGTTTTTAGTAGGAAATTCTGACTTACAAAATACAGTATCTGTGGAAAGATTGCCATACTTGACTTGTAGTTTAAACACAGTAACCCCCCCCCCCCCCAATTCCCTGAAACTCCCTGTTTGAAAAAAAAATCAGGGCCTTTTTTTTCACTTTTTCAATCTATTATTTACATGCTACTTTTGTAATTTTAGGTTGGAGCCTCCTTATTTGCCAGTAACATAGGGAGCATCCATTTTGTTGGCCTAGCAGGCTCGGGAGCAGCCGGTGGTCTGGCTATTGCTGTGTATGAGCTTAATGTACGTTGTCACCTGTGAGGTAGAATGCAAGTGCAATTTCTTATGAAACAATTTTTTATGTTTTTTTTTTTAATTCATTTATATGTTTTGAATAATGAAATTCAATTTAATTCATGTATTAAAGAAAGTAACTGTAACAGTAACAGCAACAGCCCATTTGAACCCAGATATTGTTTATTGTGAACACGTTTTGTATAACAGTTCATAAATAAGATATCGGGTAGGTAAACCAGATTATGGTGCACCAAGTGACCGAGGGGTGACAGTGTCTTATTTACTATTTCAGGCTATATTTGTGGTCTTGCTGCTAGGATGGTTGTTTGTGCCAGTCTACATAGCATCGGGGGTGAGAACCAGAAACTAGTTCACAAAAACATCTTAGGGGTCAAAGACGGCTTTTAGACAAAAATTCTGTTTTGCTGCTTTATGTGGTGATAAAAGGGCAATAGTATGCTAAAATAAAATAACTAGTTCACAAAAAAAGATCTTAAGACTCAAAGTTGACTTTTAGACCCACATTTTGTTCTGCTGCTTCATATGGTGATAAATTTATTATAGTATGCCAAAATAAGTAACTGCTGGTTTACAAAATAAGCCATCTTTATCTTGTCATAGACCAGGCTCATTATTTCATTAGATTAGGCTGCTATTCATTTATATGTGGTCAAGGTGGACCTGAGTTTTGGTCTAAAAGTTATGAACAGCTTTTAGTTACAAATTCTTTCATGAAACCAACTTAAGCACTCAATATTAGTTGAAAAAAAGGTTAAATGAGGCTACCTTGTGGTAGCCTTAGGTCATTTTAAGTGGATAATGCTTTTTTTGCAGTACAAGATACATCTGCAAATCTACTTCATTTTATTTCCTTTCATGGTTGTTTAATAAGTCTTAATGTTTATACAATAAAAAATATAATTTTGGTTTCTCTTGCTTTTATCCACTGTTTTTATGTCTTATTGTTACATTGATATTTGTCATATTTCTTAAATATAAGATTATAACACAAATTTGGTTTTTGTATTTTCAGGTCTTTACACTTCCTGAGTACCTACAAAAACGGTTTGGAGGCTCGCGTATCCAGATCTACCTGGCGGTGATGTCCATGATAATGTACATCTTCACCAAGATCTCGGTAAGTTGAGAATACAGGTGGAAAAACAACCAGAGAGTAAAGTGTCCAACCAAATCTGGGAGCTTCAGATTACTAACAGTAATAGACTGATGTCTAAGACAATAAATGGTGTGTGTGCGTGTGTGTGTGTTTTTTTTGTCTCTGACATGCATGCGTGTGTGTGTACGTGTGTGTGTATGGGAGGGGACAGAAATAAATATAAACAGGTAGGGATGTGGGGAGGGGGCAGCAGAATTCAATATAAACAGGTTGGGGTGTGTGTGTGTGTGGGTGGGGTGGGGGCAGAAGTCAATATAAACCTGTATGGGTTTGGGCGTGCCACAGAAGTAAATGTAAACAGGAAGGGGTTTGTAAGAAACAGAAGTAAATTTGGGAGTGTTTGTAGAGAGGAAGAATAAATGCAAATACAGTTGAGCTCAGAAAGAAGAAAGAATCTGTTTATTACCTCTTGTTACCAAAAGTAACTATCTAGCTAACAGCAATAATTATAGGGTATAACAGCCGACACCTCTGTGCTCATAGTCTGTTTAGACAGGGGATAGCACCTCATGCTGCAATGAACCACCATTCATAAAAAGGGGGCGGCGTTCTTAAAAGTAACCAGTTAAGTTGTTAAAAAGTGTTACATTGATAACGTCCCATTCTTTCTGAGCTCAACTGTAGGCACAGGTGTTGTGGAGAAGTAAAGATCATAAGTGCAGAAAGCAGGAGGATATTAAGTGACCCCCCCCCCCCCCCCCCCCCGTCCTCATGTAGCAGGGAGTTAAGCCGTGCTTCTCTAATCTTATATTCATTGTGCAAAAATATAAACCCCCCATTTGAATTACTAGCACTTATGTAACATGTAATGGGCAACTCCAAATGAGCTGATGTTGTTTTATACATGTAATTGTACAGTAGTCTGTAGCACATTGATTTATTACAGTATATATATAAAATGTATAACCTAATGCTGATTAAATTTTAAGAGTATTACATGGGGTGTTTATATTTTTGCCCAGAAGCTAACTTATTTGCAAAGAATAACTTGTTATTAATTTTTTTTTTTTTGCAGGCTGATTTGTATAGTGGCGCCATCTTCATTGAGCAGGCGATGAACTGGAATCTCTATGTTGCAATACTTGCCATCTTGTCCATTGCAGCCCTCTTCACAATTACAGGTTGGTCTCGTATCAGGAAGGAGGGGGAGGGGGAAGTACACACGTGAACAGACTATTTACTCTCCTATATATATATATATATACGCATATACTACGTGTATGACACTAATTTTGCTATATTCCAGGTTTTTAAGTGTTTGTGCAAAGATATAGTACAAGTAGTGCCACTTAAATTGAGATTTATTTACCATAATATAAACTGTTAATGAAAATATTTTTCAGTGAGAGAAAGCAAGCATCTTATAAATGGAGAGGGTTAGGTATGCAGCTCGTCCTGCCCAGATAGGGAACAGAAGGGTATTTTTGGTGCATGAAATTTTTTTCATGCACAGTAACCAACACTGGTGGTTGTTGTCTAAGGGGGCATTCACAGGGGCAGATCCAGAGGTATTTTCTGACAGTCTTCCAAATGATTTTGTTGATCCATCTGCCATTTTTGACTGTCTTCCAACAGAAAAAAATTAGATACCCACCAATATAAGCTTGGAATACCCTGAAGACGGTCTCAATCCGCCCCTGCATTCAGAACAATTTGATCTGCAGACTAACAGATCCACTGATCAAATATGGCGCCACCCATTTAAAAGCATGGCGAGATTTAATTATTCTGCCCCCACGTGGACAGTGCGTGTGGGGATGGAAATCCATTGTCAAGTGCGCGCCATATTTGATACATGAACTAGTTAGTCCTTGGATCAACTTTGTTGTGAATGCTCTCTAATGTGTCCAGTTGCACCATCCACAGTTGTGACTGCACAGGCAGCAATTACCAGAGTCCTTCCAAAGTTGCTGGAACAAGAATTTGATCCATGTTCATTTCTTGTCACTACGGTGATTTGAAATCAAAGTCACAATTTTGCTTTGAATATTCCGGAGTCAAATGTGGGGCAAAAGTTGTAGGTCAAGTTAAAAAAATTGGCCTGAACAGACTTTCATTTCAAAAGATGCCCTGTATTTTATGATAATTTGTATGTCTTTCAAACTTGTTTCAGCAATATCTACAAAAAGGAACCTTCTGTTTTCCTTTTAACTAGCTGCAGGCAGCCATAGGACTAAAATGCAGGTCCATGCTGAAAGTTTACCCCATCCTTTATTTATTTATTTATTTTTTAAGTTTATTATATCTCGTGTTTATGATATTTTCTTCCTAACTTTTCTTGCAATGCAAGATTGTTATTGGGAGATTTAATATTTAACTAAAACAGGCCTATTATAAAGATGACCTTGACTTCAGCATGAAGGTTATTTCCAGGTGGATTGACGGCAGTGATATGGACAGACTTCATACAGACCATCATAATGTTGATAGGAGCTGTTGCTCTCATGATATTAGGTACGTTGAAACAAAGTAACTGGTATTAAATGGTACCATGCTCCTTTCTTGGGACATTATATAGTTATTATTGGTTATTGAAGTTAATTACCTAATAGGGTATCATAAAAATTGTATTTGTTGCTTTATACAGGACATGAATGGCATTTTAATGGTATTTTCTTACAATATCCAAAAAATCTAAAGAAAATCACTTTCTAATGTTAAAATATGTTTCATTGCAGGCAAAGGTATTTATTTCTATCAATATCTAAATGATATTTTCACTGTATTTCTCCTCACACTGACAGGTTTTGCTGAGGTGGGGGGTATTCAAGGCCTGAGAGAGAGCTACCCTAATGCTATATCCAACTCCACCAAGTATGGCAACAGTACTTGTGGTCTCCCCAGAGACGATTACTGGAACTTATTACGTGATCCAGTCAAGTCAGATTTACCTTGGCCAGGTATAATTGGGTTGACCATTAATTCTATATGGTATTGGTGTGCTGACCAGGTGAGTGGCTGTCTGACCTGTGGTCAAAGGCTTGACCACTATTAATTATTATTGTATTTTTGTTGCCAGTGGCATTAAATTTTGAATTTGTCACATTTGTTCTGGATTCAGTTTTTAAATTAAAATACTGAACAGTTTATTTTAGAAAATTAATAATTGTTATAAATAATACAAGCTTTAAATGAACTTGATGATATATTTCATTCATCCAATATATTTAGTGAAAATTATTTCATTCTCTCATGATGGTGTAAATTTTTTTTTTTAATTTTGAAAGTAAAAATTGTGGTCAAAACTGTGTAGGAGCCACTTGCTCCCAGAAAACACTACAAGTCAGTTGTTACATGTTCACTTTGAATTTAAAAAGATGACTGGTCAGTCATTTTAACTAAATTATCAAATTAAAAATGGAATAAAAAATCAAATCCAAGTACAGGGACAGGTCGAGCAATAATTCATGAGAATGAGAAAATTGCTCTTCTACAGTACCCAGGAAAATTCATTTTGTCAGGAAAATCCCATGGATTTGGCCTTTAAGCTAGTTTATTAGCTTAACTTTTATAAGAACAATACAACAATTGCATTGAATTATTAGGAAATACAGAAAATGAAATTTGTAAGAGATAGCAGAAGATGGGTTAGATAAACAAGTTAATTTAACGCAATTTGAACTTATAAAAAATAAGTTCAAGGTAACACAAACATGCAGTGTAAATTATAGATGGGGGCCCTGCGGATATAAATATTCCAATCAGCAGAATTCATGAAAAAGAGAACCGTTACCAGATAACATTAAAATTCTGTGAGCTCCATCAGAGCATTAGGTGAGTAACTTAATAACAAGGTCACCAGGAGGGGGAAGTTTGAGATTTGAGAAAGGACCAGAGCATGTTGCTTATAACTAACTGCATACAGAGATACTTGTCAACATGAATGAGAAATGATCACTGAGGGAGTGAACTGAAGAGTGAGAAGAGAGTATGAGAGAGAAAAAAAAGTGACAGGAGATTAAGATATGTTCTGGACACTCATAATGTCTACATGTTTGAAGATTTTTTCTTTATATTTTACATGCATGAACACATGTTTCTGTGTGTTTGTGATAAACCTCTTGATACCACAAGCTCTACATGCTTATGGACAAGCTGTTCTCACAATACATGATACTATGGCTGCATTCACAACAACAGACTAACAGATCCGCAAATCACATATGGCTGACCCACTTGGATGCTTGTTACATAATCCTTGTGTGGATCTATTTAGTGTCTTTCAGGTGATTATGTGGCAAACTTGTAAGTGTGTCGCCATATTTGATCCTGTTAGTCCGCTGTTGTGAATGGAGCCTATGATAATATTATTGTATTTTCAGTACTGTTATTTCTAGGTGATAGTCCAGCGTGTTCTTGCCTCCAAGAACTACACCCATGCCAAGGCAGGCTGTCTCTTCACGGGGTATCTCAAGATATTGCCAATGTTCCTGCTTGTGATGCCAGGGATGATTGCAAGAGTTCTGTTCCCAGGTAAAATAGCCATGGCATTACCATTACCTACCTGTATAATGGTCCCCCTTAAAACTTGTGGGTGACTGGGTTTAAGTCAATAATTATACATTATTAACCTCATACACACCCAGGCCTGTAGCCAGGGTTTTTTAACAAACCGCCCTTTTTGCCAGGAAAAGGTCCACTCTGGGAAAATTTTAATATAGGTACATGTAGGTTACATGGTAAAAGGTCTAGAGCCCCCCCCCCCAACCCCCCCCCCCCCCCCCCCTTTGAAAATGCTGGCTGTGAGCCTGCACACCTGCATCAAGATGAAAACATGATATCTATGATTTCAGACACGGTGGGCTGCTCAGACCCAGAAGTCTGCTTGGAGGTTTGTGGTAGCAGGTCTGGTTGCAGTAATATAGCGTACCCGTCACTGGTGCTGAACCTGATGCCTCCAGGTACTGAAGGACTTATTGAAAGCTTTGATCTAACCATTGCTTTGCATAGGGTAGAATTACAATACTATTTGGTGCACCTATAGAAATATAGAAGAATACATTATAATCTTAAATCCAATATCTGTCAGTAAGCAAAGGTATACACCATAGAGTTGGGCTGATCTTTGGGCAAGTAAATGTAAGTAAGAAGAGACTGGCTTAAACCACTTTATGATTCAGAATTAGCATTGTCAAATTTATTCTATTTGCTATTCATCTTATTTCAGTTTTGTGACAGTGTTGGTTCTTAAGTTTTTCCCCCCAAGGGATATACATTTCATTGCCTTGAATCTGTGAAGTTATAATGATATTGCCGCAGTCATGGGATTTCATTTGTCTTTATCACAGGTGCTCGTGGTTTGATGTTGGCGGTGATGCTGTCTGCTCTGATGACATCGCTGACATCAATATTCAACAGTAGCAGTACCATTTTTACCATGGATCTGTGGACAAGAATTCGGAAAAAGGCATCTGATGTTGAACTCATGATAGTGGGCAGGTCAGTGCATGTACATAGCCAGGTTCTTGAAACAATGAGCCAGTTTTTATCTATCTATCTATCTGTCTGTCTGTCTGTCTGTCTATCTATCTATCTATTGTCAGAGTCTGCAGTTATGCTCAAGGTTGATAAAAAAATTTAAGTGAAGAAAAATTGAAAGGTATTAGAATTGCCATTTTTTGGACTTTATTACAATACATTGTTAGTCTTGACACCAGAATTTGCAAAAAAAAGAGGTCATATTAGTCTACATTCACATTTATTAGTGTACATGTAGTACCTTATAATTTGGTTATATTATAATTAGGTTTTTCTTTCAGTTTTAAAGGCTTGGTAAGGTTACCAGGTATTCTGTGTATATAAAAAAATTTAATGTTAAATTTTTTAGGCTATTTGTCGTCTTCTTGGTGGTCGTTAGTATCATCTGGATTCCGGTGTTGAAGGCGTCCGAGGGCAACCAACTCTATGTATACATACAGGAGGTCTCCAGCTTTCAACAGCCTCCCATATGTGCTGTTTTCCTTCTGGCTGTCTTGTGGAAGAGAATCAATGAGAAGGTGGGGTGCAGATTTTAAGTAGTTCAGAATCTAAAATAAAGAGATTTTGTTGAACACAATAATCTCCATGTTTGTTAGTCAAAAAGAGTGTGAAATGTTAAAATTTGTATTTTCATGTAAGTTTTCTGATTATTATTAATATTATTTGAAATTTGATTACATATTTTGTGGTATGAGTACATGAAAGTTCATTGTGTTATATAATATAATAATGATAATAATAATAATAATGTTTATTTATATATATATATATATATATATATATATATATATATATATATATATATATATATATATATATATATATATAGCAACCACTAGATTGACGTTGTACATAAACTGGATTAGAATAAAAATTACAGATTCAAACATTTACATAAAATAATGGATATACAATTAGACCAAAATGAGTTAAAAAATAAATAACAGTTAAAGTTACTACGAGAATGACTCGATCATTTCAGTGGGCAAAAATTATCAAACTTTCAGATACATCATTTTAATCAAAAAAACGATATATTTTTATAGCATATGTGGTGCTTTTAATGCATAGAATAGAACTATAAGGTAGTCTGCTTTATCTGATTTGTGTGTTTCAGGGTGCCTTTGCTGCATTAATGATTGGCTTCTTGACAGGTATGGGGCGTTTCGTTTGGGAGTACTCGTACTCTGTGCCGGGATGTGGTATGCCAGGGGAGGACCCTAGGCCCAGCATCATCAAGGACTTTCACTATTTATACTTTGCCATCTTTCTCTTCCTTCTGACCATTCTGACTGCAGTGGTGGTCAGTTTGATGACAGAACCAATCAAAGATGACCATGTAAGTAGTGGGTCATAGAAATATGAGGATTGGCAGTTTTGCTGAATGTTCATTTTATAGTAGATCTTTATTATCATTATTATTATGGTTATTATAATTACAATTATTTTTGTGTCACAATTCTTGGGACATAGAAGAATAAGCCTGACTCCTAATTGATTCATACAAAAAATACTGTAGCTGTGTAATGAAAAGTTGTCTCTTTATCCAAATTAAGAATTACAAAGCCAACATTTGAGCCATTAAATGTAGCTGTAACAGTATCCTGTTTTTCTAACCCAAATGCTCATTATGGTGTGTCTCCTGATTTCAGCTTCACCGACTAACATTCTTCAGTCGCAACAGCAACAAAGTTCGCATTGACATTGACTTGGCCAACTCTAGGTCAGACTCTTCCGAAAGTAGTCAGGGTATTGTGGAACTGAAAAACACAAAACTTGTAACAAAGGACAATGTGGTAAAACAGGATGAAACAGACACAGGTCAGGCAGGCCAAGGGGATGGCCAAGTGATAATGGTGGATGAGGAGATGAAAACAGATGTTCTAAAGAACCGAGCTGACCATGAGATGACAAAGGAAAAAGACGAGAAAGTGTCCTTGGTTGGTGACAAGAAAAATGGGGACCAAAGAGACATGTCTGTGACAAAGAAGAATGGGGATGTTGAGGATCCTGAGAGAGATGTGAAATATGAAGGTATTATATACTGTTAGGGGATGCTCTTAAGTATATATATCATATGCCATATTTTCAGTACATGTATCAATTAATGCTGACTATATCACTTTATAATGTTTTTCAAAAATGAAAAAAAATTAAGTTACATAGTAGCAGTTTGCGTCCTTAAAAATTTGTCTTAATGGGGGAGGTGGGCAGTCTAAATATATATATATATATATATATATATATATATTCAAAATTGTCGGCTTTGTCTCAGTGTTTGGCACATTTTTAAAACTCATTCCAGATAAGTAATGAATTCAGTACATCTAATACATCGAGTATTAATTCATTGACTGGTACGTTTTTAGGTGACCGTTCTCTGCCATGTTGGAAACGAGCACTCCAGTGGCTGTGTGGTATTGAGTCCCATCCTGAAATTCAGTTAACAGAGGAAGAAAAGAAAGCCGCAGAGCAGAAACACATGTCTTTAGCGGAGGACCATCGGTGGAAATTATTCTGTAATTTCAACGCTGTGCTCCTGATGTCCGTGGCAATGTTCTTGTGGGGATTTTTTGCTTGAGTGTTTTGTGTGTGTGTAGTTTTATTTTCATTCATTAAGAAACCAGGTTAATATTATTTTAGACTTTATGATTATTCGTTTTAAGTTTCTTGTCTTTATTTTGTAATTGAGATATTATAATGGTATGATATATTTTCATGATAGCTGCCAGTCTGTTGTTCTGTTTTACTTTCAACTTCCATAAAGTGCTTTTTTTTTATTAAAAAAGCAGACTAAGAAAACATCAGCAAAGCCGTATAGTCTTTGTTATATACTTCATGTTTTTGCATTTAATGTCCCATACATGCTCAGTAGATGTTTTACTTGAAATATATTGCATTAATGGGAGGAGTTGCTTTACAAAAATGCATACCAAGATTACAAATTGTATTATCAAATTATTATTCTTCCAGAAATGCACATATCTTCGTGGTACTTGACATGACTTATCAGATTGCCATTGTCCAATATAAGAGATTAAAAGGCTTAATTCAGGTTTTTCATATTTGGACTACCATTTTTGTATATTATACAACATGGCTCACAAAAATGAATATTTTATGCCAGAGGCATTGTCGTGTAGTCAAACCAACCAATTAAAATGTGTTGACATATTATATAATAAATAGTTTTTGAGAATTTAAATATTTTTTATTCATGCAATATAGATATAGACATATTTAATTAAAATATTTGTGTATCCCTTACATATGTTATAAAACTAAAGTAAAACAACATGTTCTATATCTTTTAGTTTCTGAATGTTTTTCAGGTACTGATTTAGTTTATGTATATGTTAACATATTTTTCAGAAATATAAAATCAGCAGTTGGACTGCAAACGGTATTTGTTGTCCTGCTTTTATTACATAGAGCAAGTGCAGTAGTGTCTATTTAGTGTTTACTCTATAATTGGTCAGAACTTGGCAGTATTTTTTATATTTTTTTGTCGGTGAACTATTTTTATTATCCTTTTTATACATTTTCATAATTCTGAAAGAGTAGTATTAAACCCCTGCAAAGATGTTAACATTAACTTGTATGTTGAATTATGTTATAGGGCAACATTTAAGGTATACAGTGAGCATTAGACTTTGGAGACCTGATTAGAAACAAACTCTGATCACTTGTTGCAGAAAATTTATGTTGATAATTTTTTAGTTTTTAATTACATAATTTACTACTCATTTATTCGTAAATGAGCAAGACAGGGCAATCGCCATTTCAGAACTAGTGATGGGGGTATAACCTGGCGAATTTTTTTAAACTAATTTTGAAAAAAATAGATTGAGTATCATCTCCAGGGGCTTGGATTGAGTGCACATCAGGGTTGTAAAGAGAATTTGTAAAATATCTTTAAAAATTTTATTTTATTTTTCATTTATTATTTTTATTAACAATATTATGATAACTTTTTTATCATAATATAAACAAAGGTCAATTGCTCATTGTGTATCATGATGTGTTCTTTACAGTAATTAAATCATCATAAAACATTTGATCTGTCTCTAATAGATTAGCCTTAACTTTTGGCGCTATTTTAATCTGCAACCAAGCAGGTCTGACTTTAGGTAAGTCATAGATGTCATCTTCTAGAAGCTATTTCTGCCCCAGGTTTTATAATATAGGTTCAGATGTTCCATTGTTGTGTTTGTATAGCCAGTGCTTCCATCTAGGACGATGTTTTTTTTTTTTTTTTTTCAATTAAAGGATGAAGCTTTAAAGGAAATGTTCAAATAATTTAATGTAAGTAAAATAAAAAAAACTGAAATTGTTGATGATAGTAATTGAGAATGAGGAGAGAGGAACAGTGCAATGTAATCCCCAGACCATGTTATTGTCAGGAAAGAAATGTTATTCCATTTCATTATTGAAGGATAGGACAAATCAGATTTCTTCCCCCCAAAGAAGTTGCAAGGCACATTGTTACTTGTTTATATGAATGAAATTGTTGAAAATTTAATTGTTTTTAAAATGGGATAAAAGGGATGTGTCAGAAATTAATGAAAATAATTGGTTTTGAAATAAATGTTACTCCAGTGCTTTCGTTGATGATTGATATTAAATGGAACATTGCGGCAGCTATGTATTTGCCAGATTGTTCTGATATTGCTCAACTGTGTGAAATTGCACGTCTCAAGTTTCAGGGCTTTGCTGTCTTAAGTCCTGATACCTGTGGATAATCAATGATTGGTTTTATACGTTGTTTTACAACAAGGAGTACGATGAAACTTTATATGTTGCAGAAACTTGGTGTAATACTGAGAAAAACATAAGTGTTAAATGTTTCAAATTTGAAAATTTCAGTGAATGTTTAATGTTTATGAAGTTTCAGAGGCAGTTGATTGTAATTGTATATCGAGGGTTAGATTGTATTTCTTGTGTTAAAATGAAATATATTTATTTCGTTGAGATAAATTGTTCGATTCCTTATTACAAGCAGGGGACTCGGGGTAATTAATTTGTATTTTTGGAGTCTGATATGTTATATTGTAGAAATTAACCCTTCTCCCCATGTACAGTGAAATCTTAAGCAAAATGAAAATAAATGGTCATATTTTAAAAGATTTCAGAGAGGAAGAAAATATATTGTTCTGTTGTTTGATGCAGACAACATATGCACGGGGGGGGGGAGGGTAAGATTATGCCTAGTATCTGTATGCCTTCCATTTGCCTAAAACGGGTAAACACATGACAAGTTATCTGGATGTTACTACCTTGTTATCAAGGAAACCGTCTCATTTAGGATGATTACATGTAATAGACAAGAAGGCACCATGTAAATGGAATCGATAGATCTATGTTTGCCTTTGGAAGCAAAAACAAATTCTACATCTAGTGTGTCAAAAGGTGCCTCAATTATCCTATTCCCTTGTGTTCGAAATAGGGAAACAACAGGACTACATCATAATCTTATTACTTATTTATATATATATATATATATATGTACAAGGACCAAGGGAGATAGAATTCATCATATGTGAGATACTGTGCTGGCTGGGACATTATTGGACACTTGATTGATGTACCTGTCTATCTGACTTGCTGCGATAGATACAACATTCAGTTTGATTTACGATCTCAAATTCTCTTGCTGATCTTTCGCCAACTGTTTTTTCCTGAAGTCTGCAGTTTAATTCTTTGACATCTCCTCAGCGTTGGACCGAACGCGTAACTGCCCATTTGTTGATAGGCAATTTTAAGATACTAGTATAATATAGTATAAAGATGTCAGGACACGGAAAACATCTCGATCATCAAAATCCGAGGCTGTTAGAAGAGGAAGAAAAGGCTGCAGTCACGATCAATGTCTCCGGAAAGAAATTCACCACGTTTTGGACGACGCTTGCCAAACGGCCTGAATCCAGATTGGGGAAATTAGCTGAGGACAGGGGGTATGTACAGGACAGGGGAGAGAAGCTTTTCTTTGATCGCGATCCAGCTTATTTCGGCCCAATTTTGAACTTCTACAGAACAGATATATTACACTTTCCCCATTTTTTGTGCGTGCCTATAATTCGTCTGGAACTTCAATTCTGGGAAATTGGAGAAGAAAACTTGGCGCCTTGCTGTAAAGAAATTGTTCAGACTTTTTACAAAGAACAAAAAGAAAAGAAATTATTGGAGAAAGAGTTCAGTCAATTTTCACCGGTCATTTATAACCATAAAGAAGGGACGTGTGATTCATACAGACATCGACTATGGGTGTTCCTAAATATTCCGTCATCATCGCGTGGAGCTAAGGTAAATATGTTGGTAGGCATTTTACATTGAGAGTTTACCATTGGGTATTTTCTTTACCCGTGAAAGCCACTTTTTGTTTCCTGAGATGCATGAAACGCTCATATTATTTATCGTGATCCGTGAAGTACTGAGTACCCCATCCCCATTTTGTTTCCCGTGAACTGTGCTCACTACCCCCCCCCCCCCCGCCCCCAATGGGGCACCATTTAGAGTTATGCTGCTAAGTTAATCTAAAGATAACATGGTAACCCCTTTCGCAGAAAGAAAGAAGGCCATGCTGTTGTTTAACAATATGTGTATCGATTTCCATTAACGTGACTAGAATCACGTATTTCAGGGGAGAAGTTATTTTCACATTTAGAATATACATAAAACTTGCACATTTCTCTAATATGTACGTGTGTGCAATATCTTTTCTGGCGTGGGTACATTGTAATTGTAATATATAAAAGGTACATCTTACCGGTATATTAAAACAATACAGATCAGATAAAGGAAAAGGTTATTTCTTCCGTGAGGCAAAACTCCAAGAAGCAATTAATTATTTTATAGCATATTAGGCATTAATTCTTAATCAATTTTCTCTGTAGGCTTGGATGGTCATGTACATAGCGCTGTTGTGGATATCATTTTCATTACTTGCAATGAACAGTACCCCAGAATTTCGCTCTTCAAATGGAGTAAATGCGTCAGCACTTCCACACATTTTCAACGAAAAGTTAATCATGCTTTTGACGACCGACGACAATCCGATTATAAAGGTTTGCGACATTGTTTTAAACGTTTTCTTTACATTGGAAATTGTGGTGCAATTATTTACAGCGCCCAGTTTGTGCAAAACTTTGAAACAATTTCTGTCAGTAATAGAGGTTTCGTGGTTAGTGATCACGTGGACTACGGACATTGCTTTTACAGCAAAGGATTATCTAGTTGAGAAAACCATAGAGGAACAAAGAGAAATCCCTGCTTTTACTACCATGAGAGTTCTTGCGTACCTCAATGTCACATTGCGTGTGCTGCGTCTCCTGCGCTTGATACCATTCAGTCGGAACCTTCAAGTAATAATTTTAACCCTCAAAGCAAGCAGCAAAGATATCGGACTCCTTGTTACACTTCTTTTGATGGGAGCGATGATATTTGGACCTCTTATTTTCTATGCAGAAGTAAACGGTTCCGTGTCGAACATTGACAACGTACTTGTTGGCTGTTGGTGGGCCTTGGTTACCATGACAACCGTTGGCTATGGTGACAAGTATCCATCTGCGTTTGGCGGATACGTAATTGGTGTGGTGTGTGTGGTTTCAGGGATGGTTATCACGGGCATTCCTATATCCATTATCAGCAACAATTTCAACAAATATCAGTCGTTTGCCGAGTCATTGAAAGAGAACAAAAGAGCAAACGAAAACGAGGAAAGGGTTTCTTTAACCTGATTATGTTTCGTATTGCCAAATCTGATCTCTTGAATGAGTGGTTAGAGAGTCAGTAAATTTAAAACAAAATTAGTCAAGACTATATTTCACATTAGATCTACTTGGAATATGTATTATGGTATTTTTTTTTTTTTTTTTTTTTTTTTTTTTTTTGCTGTTTCCTTCAATACTACCGTAAGTTTTAAAAATAATTATAAGTTGTCTCAAAAAAATATAACATATTTAGAAGATACACACTTAGGCATTGTTACGTACTAAATAAGATTATTTCCTTGAGATTGCAAGTTGGGTGAATAACTACACGCAATTTGTTTTCGATTGTGACAGTCTCATCTGTTGCAATATACTGTATGTTTTAGCGGAGTCATGTAGTGGATTCCTGAATAAATGAAGTCTTTGATCATTAAGCCATAGTACTCTGATAGAAAAGCCATATGTTGCTCTTGTTGGTGTGCTGTGGAAGTTTCTTAAACAATGTGTAAGAGGTAGGCCTATTCGACATTTTGACTTCAGGGTTTTCCAACTTTCATGATATTTGGCAATTATGCATTTATGCATGCAGCTTATTACTCAGTACACAGCTTGATCGAAGCCTTTTTATGTGTATTTTGGTGCAATGCTAATACGTATACATGAAAAGTTTGTCACAAATTTGTCTTAGGGTCGCTGCTTTTGGCTTTGACATATACACTGCCATTAAAGATAACTTTATAGATTATTACACAATGCTCCACAAATTAGAATCGTAACCCAGTGTATACCTTTTTTCTCATAGTTAACAATCAATATTATAACAAAACCAAGATTCTGACGATTTTTTTTCATAAGTGCATACTTCTATTTTCCGATTTTGAATCGTTTACTTGAATGTGCCTGTTTGTGTTTGTTATACTGGCGTTCTGGAATTTATATTTCATACTTTTTTCCCTTTAATGTTTGCAGTGTCAGTTTTATAGTCTTAATTAATAAACATATTAACCATCACGTAAATTCGCCCTTTCCATTTATTCACAAACGCGTTTTTTTTTTCGGATCATATTATTTATTTCAAAATAACTACTTATTTGTTTTACACATTTTGTTCTTTATCTCGAACTCCTATGTCTGCTACATATGGCGTCATTATTATGTCGATGATCAATTCAAAAGCCCAAGGTTTTGACAAAAGCAATAGGCCCATTTAAATTATTTAAACGGCTTTAAGCACGAGAGATTTCTATTTTTCCCCGAATCATATGACAACTCTTCCGGATGTCACGTCCTTGTATTGGTATTGGTAGTAATACAAATTATCTATCACTGAGAGTATTGGGTATATAGTATAGGATAAATAGGACAATAAAACACCAAGTGAATGATGTCGATCGGCTTTTGCCTTTGGGAGCAAACACATTCTACAGGTAGTATATCACAGATGAAGAAACAAAAGAAGTCATTATAGAACTCCATGTGTATGAGGAGCAATGGGAAATCGTCATATGTGAAATGTAACCTTAACAACTGTGCATACAGTATGCCATTATTGAGCATCTGATTAATTTACCTGTCTGTTTGATAGGATGAGATAGATGAAACATTCAGTTTGATTTACGATCTCAAATCCATCTGCTGATCTTTCGCCCTGCAACTGTTTACCTGAGGCCTGCAGTGTAAATCTTTGACATCTTCTCAGCGTTGGTTCTAACGCGTAACTGCCCATTGGTTAATAGACAATTAAGGATATCCTGAATAATACGGTATAAGATGACGGGACATAGAAATCCGATTCTTGATCATCAAAATCCGAGGCTGCTGGAAGAGGAAGAGAAGGCTACAGTCACGATCAATGTCTCCGGAAAGAAATTCACCACGTTTTGGACAACGCTTGCCAAACGGCCTGAATCAAGATTAGGGAAATTAGCTGAGGACAGGGGATGCATTAAGGAAAGGGCAGATAAGCTTTTCTTTGATCGCGACCCAGTCTATTTCGGCCCAATTTTGAACTTCTACAGAACAAATATATTACACTTTCCCCATTTTCTGTGCGTGCCTATAATTCGTCTGGAACTTCAATTCTGGGAAATTGGAGAAGAAAACCTGGCGCCTTGCTGCAAAGAAATTGTGCAGGATTATTACAAAGAACAAGAAGAAAAGAAATTATTGGAGAAAGAGTTCAGTCAATTTTCACCGGTCATTTATAACCATAAAGAAGGGACGTGTGATTCATACAGATATCGACTATGGGTGTTCCTAAATATTCCGTCATCATCACGTGGAGCTAAGGTAAATATGGTGATAGACATTTTACATTTAGGCCTCACTCAGAATAAGGGACTAGCTAGTCAAATATGGCCGACCCACTTGAATACTTCCCCATGGGATATTTATTCAATGTCTATAAGCGGGTTGTATTGGGTCGCCATATTTGACCATCGGACTAGTTAGTCCCCTTTTCTGAATGGAGCCTTACACTAAAGATGGCACATCAAAGATAATATATTAATAACCTCATAAAAAGTAGGTAGGTCGTGTTAATGTCTAAAGATGTGCACCCAATTGCTATGTCCAGAACCATATTATTTTTGGAAGACTACGTGTTTCATACATTTGTATAGAAATTGTAAACCTTTTTTTGCATTTGTCCAATACATTTTTATTATCGTTTTCAGGCGTGACTTTATTGAAATAAATAAGTTACAGTATATCGATCGTAGTATACATGAGAAACGTTTCCAAGCGACAAACCTCCAAATAGCAATTTATCATTTTATAGCATATTTTGTCTTTAGGCTTGGATGGTCACGTACATAGTGCTGTTGTGGATATCATTTTCACTACTGGCAGTGAAGAGCATCCCAGAATTTCGATCTTCAAGTGCAGTAAATGCGTCGGCATTTCCAAACAATTTCAACGAAAAACAAATAATGCTTCTGACGACCGAGAAGAACCCGATTGTGAAGGCGTGTGAGGTTACTTTAAATGCTTTCTTTACCTTAGAAATTTTACTACAATTATTTACGACGCCAAATTTGTGCAAAAGATTGAAACACTTTCTGTTAGTAATAGACGTTTCTTGGCTAGTTGTTACGTGGACTGCGGACATTGCCCTAACAACAAAGAGTTATGTAGTTGAAAGAATCGTTGCGGAACAAAGAGAAAATGATGCTTATATCAGTTTGAACGTACTGATGAACCTATATATGATACTGTGTGTGCTTCGTCTCCTGCGCATGGTACTCTATTGCCGGAACCTTCAAGTGATACTTTTAACCCTCAAAGCAAGCAGCAGAGAAATCGGATACCTTGTTTCATTTCTTCTGATGGGGGCGATGATATTTGGACCTCTTATTTTTTATGCAGAAGTAAACGGTTCCGTGTCAAACATTGACAACGTACTTGTTGGGTGTTGGTGGGCCTTGGTTACGATGACAACCGTTGGCTATGGCGACAAGTATCCATCTGCTGCTGGCGGGTACATAGTTGGTGTTATATGCGTGGTTTCGGGAATGGTTTTCACGGGCATTCCTATATCCATTATCAGCAACAATTTCAACAAATATCAGGCATTTGCCGAGTCATTGAAAGAGATCAAAAATGGAGATGAAGACAAAGAGACGAAATCTTCAACTTGATTATGTTTTGTTATGACAAATCTGGTTACCTGAACGCGTGGTAAAGAGCCAGCCAGTTAATTCAAATTAAAATTGATTTTGGTCATAGCTGGAATATACATGTAAATTCAATACGGAATGTTTCAACTATTTCTTTTCCATAAAATAACGCTTTTTTTTTCGAATTCGTCCGAGACTGTCTCAGAATAGCTGTAGGAGACGTTTGTACTCGTTGTTACATACCAGGTGACATTGATCTTATTGGTATTTTTAGCCAGCGAAAAAAGCAGCAAGTTCATAATCATAACCTCCCTTGAGGCAATTCGTCCCAATAAGTATATTTTTTAATTAAACCAAGAAATTAGGCTAAAAATAAGTTTTTGGTAGATTATCTTTTTTTGCACTTCTGTAACCTCTCTCTAGCTCAATTCCATTGACTTATGAGACCAAGCAAATAAAAATGTAGCATTTCAGAAAAGTAATATGCAATAATACCTTACTTACCTACTTAACTCATCTAGGAAACCGTCCGCAAATTTTGTATTTAATTGTCAATTTGTTGCCCGATCATCTAACCAATCGGACGTTTTTTTTCTGAACTTTTTGTTTTATATTAGTGTCAAAATGTGATTTCACTTTTGTAACATAAAAATGCATTGCTTCCCCTTTTGTAGGTAGATGCAATTTCCACATATTCTAAAAAAGAGTTATCTATTAGTAGTAAGCATATTAATATTTCTCAATAGTGCAATATTCAATAGTAACACATTTGATGTGATATGCAACTCTCATTCTGGGCCACTTCGGCGCTTGCGTATTTTAAAATTAAAGAAATTTCTTCGGCAATAGAGGTTAATTCTGAAATGATTGTTTTTAATTCCACGGAGTGCACTATGTAGGCTTAATATATTATACATTTTATTCATTTAATAAATAGCTTCCTCGTTTAAAATTGTAACATTTTGATGACTGATCAGTTATTTGGAACGCTATGTACTTTTCAGAGGGAAAATTAGACATCGGGTTCTTTAATTCGAGGGAAGCGAGCTCTCTATAATGGGAAACCGTCTGTCACGTTACACTGGTAGGCCTACACCTGATAGTAACACTCTGCAGTTATTGATTTGCACAGATTTGTTCTCATTGTCCTTGTTATTGCCAGACTGCTCACAAAAAAGCACTCTAGTACAGAGACACGCTTCCGACCTCAAAAAGCATTGTCATCAGCTGGTGCATATCATTCTTTGTTCCCGAGAAACCGGGGGGAAGGTTGGAGTTAAATGCAGGCGTCTCGGTTAATGTTTTTACTCTATTACACGTTAGAAATCGATCGTTTAAGAATAAGCTTCATATTTAATGCAATACACAGATACGCCATTTTTTTTCAAAACATTTGTCATGTTTATTTCGCTTCTTTGTTCCCAAATTGGTTATCACGATATAATTTAAGCAGCCTAAATTCTGCTTGCTGAATAATAAGTCTAATTTTGATAAATCTGCTGCAAACTACAGTTTGCTAAAGGCTATCAAGATGTGAACAACGGCCATCTGTATGCATACAGCAAAACAACAATATATCAACGGTATACAAACAAGACAAATGGCTTTTTAGAATCTTTTACACGTACATCTATTGATTTTTAACAATTCATACAACGTTGGCAATAATAGGACGTATATCAACGGGCGTTCAATTTTGACTCTGAAAATCTCCAGGCTAAAAAAATTAATAGTGCAAGGATTCACGGCCATGCATGGTAGGCAAAGTCTGAATGTATATAATTGTTTTTAACAACTCAGCAGGCCATTGTTTTTAAGAATTTTGCAGAAACTGTATTCTTTAAAGTAATACATTCTTAAAATTAGAACATTTTATTGAGTAGAAGCAACACAATTGAACACCAGATTACCTAATAGTTCTAATCTATACAGTAAAAGCAAAAGCAAATTACTTCCCAGAAATATATTTTAAGTGATTCCACAGTTTTTTTTTTTTTTTTTTTTTTTTTTTTTTTTGTGAAAAATTGATTATTTTCCCGGTTGAAATGATGGAGCCACTACCATGCATTGCATTGTTGAATTGCTATAAAAGATATACAGATATAATCACTATGTGCTTACTGGGCCACGCCGAGATTTTTGGGGAAACGACAACTCGCCATATCTATCTCTGTTTAACTTCAGAGACTTGGGTAAACTAAAATTCGGCCTCGGGGCGCGTTGACGTCACTGTTGGTAACCATCGATTTCAGAATTATGTATTTTTCATTATTTTTGTTTATTGAAATCTGTCTTGTAAAAACTTCCAAGTTATCCAAGCTTTATTTGAAGACTGAATTGAATGTAAGCGCTTCCATTATTTGGGTGTTTTAAACATGAATCCACATAATAAATCTTCAAGGTCCCTGATGCAAGATCCTTTTGTATTGCTTTAATTAAACTGATTGAAAAAAAAATAAAAAAATCCAATAAATTGCTGCTCTTTGTAAATGATTAACAAAAGATAAGACTTTAAACATTTTTGGGGGAAAAACTTAACATAGAACTTCAAAATCCAACAAAGTCTAACACAAACAGCCAAGGAGTCCCAATGCACACAAATAATGACGCTTCTTTTCGCAAATACATAATGAATTGGCACTGCATTAATATGACAGTTTTCCATGGGGGCATATTTCAACAAACTTGTAATCATTCCTGTCCCTGAGGAGTCTAATAACTCCTTACTTACACCTTCTTACAGAAGACGGAAAAAGAGATACAAACTTTGTGACCTTATGCTAAACAGTGAAGGTCAGTTTACAAATAGATACATGCTACGCCCATTCAGATTTGGGTTTTGTAGGCGTCACAATGTACCGAAATCGACACCAGATCCCCACACAAACAAGTATATTTCAATACATGCAAGATGAACCTGAACCTGGTCAATGTAACCATTTGACAAAATGTCATCACAAAAACCCATTGCAGTCAAAATGGACATTAAAACTTCCACACAAAAGAGCTTCCAAAAAAATTCAGCAATTATTTCAGTATGCTAAAGATTTTGTCACTGTTCATGAACCACTTACTGCAGGCGTCTGAGAAACCCCGCCTTCAGTGAAAAGACGATGTCTTCATGAATGGCTTGCTATTTATACACATTACATACGAATTTAATCATTTCCATTACTCTGTGTCCATCTGGCGTCAAGTTCAGGACAATGTGATGCCTGCAATAGCATAATAACAATCATATGGAAATATTTGAAAATAACCATTTTTTTATTCTTGCATATGATTATTCCCTCTTTTTGGATTTTTCTACGCAAATATCCTTCCACGTTAACCAATAAAACCGTAGCCATGAGTATGTTACTCCTAAAGCACAATATGCTGATGTGAGCATCAAAGGTATGAACGGAAGTTTTTCGTCCAATCGTAATAAAGAATGGCCTACGCTGCAGTACAGTTGTACTGGAATGAGACCCAAAATATACAATGACTCTGGAATGGATAGTAAAGGTAGACAAAGTCCTCTTCTTGGTAACCTTGATAAAGAAAGAATAACATACTGTGAAACAATTGTAATAAATTTTTTCTTCTACATGTAAACCTCTACAGATTGACAAATTCCTTAAAGTCAATGTACAAATTTGCAGTTTCTGTCATAATTAAGATTTAAATCTGAAAGCATTTAAATGTTATAAATTCAAAACTGAAATGAAAAGCATTATTAAGTTTTTCCATTCCATATGACAAAATATAAAGCAAAAAACAACTGCAGTCTACTATTATTATTATATAAGTGCCTAAACAAAAAAAACTTACCCAAATATTTCTCCTAAGCTTGTGAATGCAAATATTGTATAGACCAACATTAAAATAATCTTAATCGGTGTTTCTGAAAAAGTATACATAAAGAAAAAAAGGATTGTATTGTAACTGAACTCAATAGGGCATCATAGACACATATTTTGTACATCCAAACACATAATTATATAAGCAATATATCTGCACAAATACATGTACTTATTTGCACTGCTATAGTTTAATTAATTAAATTTAGCATTACATACTACTATCTTATATAAGTTATTATTGTATTTATATCTATAACGTACAATGTCACCAGCTCTGTTGCATAAAGTACAATAAATGTAATCTTTATTTATAAATTTTAAAACAAAAGGTAATTAAGTCCATGTACCCAATTACTCTCACTTTTAATTTGGTATGCACATGTATGTCTTTTCAGCAGAATTCAAAAGGATCTGTATAATCTTACATTATTATATAGTTTAAAGTTTTTTCACATCATCAGGAAACTGAGACAAAACAAACTAATGATAAAAATCAAAATTGATCATGCAAGGACAACATATAATATTTAACTTACCTGCTATTGTAAACAGCAGTGGAAAGAGAGAGAAATGGCCCGTGGTGGCCAGGAATAAAAATAGCTGCCCGTCTCTCTTCTTCTCTAGAGCAAGGAGGCTGGAGAGAACAAAGCTATTTAATACTATGTGTAGTCAGTTGGTATTACAATGTAAAAAGTGTCAGTGTGTACATTTAAAGAAATCTAATCTTGATCAGTTCTACTGATGTAAGGACATCAGAAATCAAGCTGGTAAGCTAACAATTTACATATAGCTAAGTATGTGTGTATGAGCGCATTGGAATAGCGGACTAGCAGATCCACGGATGAAATATGGCCAACCCACTTGAATGTTAGCTGTGTTATCCCCATGGGAATCTACTCAATGTCTTATCAGGAATTAACTAGCAAGCATTTTAGTGGGTCCTCATATTTGATTCACATATCTGTTAGTCCACTGTTTTCAATGCACTCTGTGTGACTTTCAAATACCTTAAGCTGCTATCAGCTCAGAATATGTAATCTACCTTTACAAATCTTTTCTCTCAAAATACAAATATGTGGTTTACATTTTAACAGCCTTCTCCCATGAAAAAAAGTTTAAGATGCTTACCTCATTGGTATTATAATTAGTAAAATGGCTTTTTCATGGACATGCCATCCAAACATGAAGGATCCGAACGCACAGAGAGTTAAACAGCGTACAAAACTCTTCGGTCCGTAACAGCCCCTCCACAAAAGGAACAGCGCAGGCTTAAATTTAAAGTAAAGTCATTATTTCCAAACACACTTTAGAATAATAATAATAATAATAATAATAATAATAATAATAATAATAATAAATATATTAGCATCAATTTGTTATGTTATGGAAGGGGGTATATATTATAATAATAAAAACTAGTTAAGGTATAAGATACTGGAAAATTGAAGCTTCTAAATTTCAAGTTAAAATTGCCTCTCTTGGCATGTAAAAGTGAAATCTACCTAGGAAAGCTGCAGGGAAGTATGTGCTCCAAATTCCCATTTCCCCAACCCCTAAAGTTACCTTCATATTTGTAGTTACTCACCACTATAGAAAGCCCTGTAGCCACCAGCGTTGCTATGGGTTTCACAGATGGCAGCACTGCATGGTTGAACTCCTGTACTAGCCCCCCTGTCATCACTGCTGACTGACTGCTGTTGGTGGAGGGAAAGAGATTCAGTTTGGTCCCTATGGAAAGGAACATAAAATAATTAAAACAATTATATACAAACAGAATTATTATGATCATAAAAGTTATTATCTGAAATACATTTAAACAAGATTTTACAGTGACTTGACCCAAAATCAAATGTAAACTGACCAAAAGAGAAAAAGCAATAATAATTACTGTAAGTGTCCTCTACCTGAAAATACACTGATAAAATAACACTAAAACTCCCCTCACTGACCTGTGATATGGGCAGCCTTGTCTACTACATTGTACAGTGCCCAGAAGTTAGGTGCCCAGTAAGCATGGCAGAGACCACGCTTGAAGGGAAACAGCCTAGAGATCACTTGAGGAAGCTGGCCCTGAATAGAAAATGAACTACTGTGTAGCTTAGCAATATATAACGGGCAGATTAAGAGATTTTTTTCTGACACTCTTCCAAATTATCTTTGTTGATTCATCCTCCCATTTTTCTACTGTATTCCGACAGAAAATTAGATACCTGTCAATGTGAATTGTAACATCTTCTAGAAGACCCAGAAGACAGCTTCCATCCGCCCCTGTAAAAGGTCCTTTTCAGATCTAACGGTACAGTTTTCTGTATCTTAACAGCTTGAAAACTTTTAATATAAAAATGTCCTGGCTATTTATATGACTATCTGAACAGAGTGTCAGTACTCAACATGTCCAGTTGACCAGGTTAATTTTGATTGGTACACTGGGGCTTGTGAAAGGGGGTAAATCATTCCCCCACCCCCACCCCCAATCTTATGACCAGTCAAACTGGAGAGTTACAGAAAACCGTATCAATAGATATTAAAAAAGGCATGGGCATATTGCTTAGCAATAACAGAACTCTTCAACTTTTTCAAAACCTCATTTGTTTCCATATTTTATTTGTATAAGTTTTTTTCTGAGAAAAACATGCTTTCCATCTTTCATGAACTCAACGAACTTCTGGAGATTCTCAGTTTTAGGTGCTGTAAACAAACGGGTTACTGTATAGACTATGATAAAAAGTCCATATTAGATGGCGAAGATCAGTAGTGAACTATTGTAAAAAAAAAAAAAAAAGAACCTGACTAAATTGTACATCTGTTTTTACAACAAATTTGGTTGGTACATTTCAAAAACACAAGCAGCACAACATTATCAAAAAATAATATACATGTTTCTGTTCAATTAACATTCATACCTATTAGTAAGAAACACCAAATAACTCAACAGATAAGAAACAGTAATGACCCTTTCATATTTCAGTCCTAAATACTATTAGCCTGTTATAATGAACAATGCACACGCCTGTCAATGATAGTAAAAACAATAAGGGCAACCAGGTACATAAAAGCAAAAAAATATATACATCTTGAAAGCCTGACTGTCTCACCATCACATAAATCATACTATTTATGACACGTTTTATAACCAAAAATGATTGATGATAAGCATGCGAACCTGTCTGACATCAAGACCTGGTCAACCTTTAGTTTTTGCAGCTTCCTTTTAACTTTTTATGAGCTATTTTTATTTGTCTGGCATCAATAACTGGTCATCCTTTATTTTTTGCATCTTTCTTTTGACTTTTCATGAGAAAACAATGAGCACTCCTTTCAGGAAATAAAACCAACACTCTGTTCATCATCCATAATGCTTTTCAGTAAAATGAATTTTCAAAAACGTGCAAGTTACTATTAACTTGTTCCTTGAAATGTATTCTTGTTTATTATCCTTTACAGTTTAGAACTTGATGAAATAATAACCTATTATAATTGTAGGGAGAATATAGTAGTGGTCAGTAGGGGTCAAGGCAAGTGTGGGATGCAGGCGTGGTATATAGTATAGACTGAGGAAGGTCCAGACAGATGACCAACATGGTCAACAGAGTCATGGAGCTAGCGTAATGGGTGCACAAATTCTATGTGCTGTGTTTAATAAAGTGCTGATTATTGGAACATAAGGTATTTTTATTTGAATAAAAAAAAAATGTATAATAATGTGCTGATTATTGAAACATAAAGCATTTTTATTGAGACAAAAAACTAACCATGTTTAATAAAATGCTGATTATCGGAACATAAAGTATTTTTATTTAAATAAAGAACTAACCAAGATAAATATCTTCCCAAAACCAAAGCCAAAAAAATTAACTTTCATCAAGGATCCACAGATACATTAAATGCCAAGAAAAAATACAGAGTACCTGAGGGTCTCCCAGAAACTGAGTCAGAAACTTTGCAACTGTTGACACTATATAGCCAGACAGAAGGGAAATGAAGAAAGTATCCTTAATGAGCATTTGTCAATGTACCAAAATAAACAGTATTTCAATGTCATGAGTGTGACACTTAAGGGAACTAGAAAATCTATTACTCAGAAGAGAATTTGATACAACAAATTAAATGAACAAGTAAGCGAACTAAGTGATGTAGGAAAAGCGCTAGTTGAAAAGAAGTGAAGAAAGTAGAAGAACCTGTAAGACATTAAACTTCTAAATTAACACTGTTTAATATTTCAATAAGTTCTTCTCCAAATAGATTTATCTTATTCCTCCACTTTTGAGACAAAAGCCAGTGATCATTTTATGTCATCAATATTTTTTTCACTTATCTTTTCTCTCTCTCTCTCTCTCTCTCATTTACTCACCCAAAATCAAACAACTATTGTAAGGTCTATTTGCTATAAGTAAGGTGTCTCCACCATGTCAGTATGTCCAGCTTTAGATCCTTTCACAGCAATATAAGATACTCACCATGGCAATGAACGGCCCAAAGGACATCCCACACACCATGAAAACCACAGTACCCAGCTTGAACAGGCGCAGAGGAGAAAAAGAGGTCCATAAGATACTGCCATCTGAAAGAATGTTTCAGAAATATTAAAATACTAGATCTGTATTCACTCACTCAAAATAAACAATGCTGGTATGTGTATATAACATATAAAACATTAGATTTTCAATGCACTGAATTCACTTGTTTACAAAATTCCAAATTTTCTTTTACAAAGCTAAGGCAATAGTGGTATTTTCGTTTTCTACATTTAGTAAGTAAGTCTTTTTTTGCAGCACGTTCTATAAGGATGATTGTTTTTATATCCCCTGCTCTTAATTTTTATAGAAATAGATAGATAATATGATTTTGTCATTGAGGTCACAATTATCAATGAGAAAATAAAAACAAATTGTTTTTATCCTTCTTAATTCTGAAAGCAGAAATGCTTATTCAACACTCCCTCCGCACAAAAAATATCCATACATTGGAAAAAATATGTAAATGCTTTATACCTTTTGCATTCTGGAAGCAGTGTGACCTCAGTAAATATACAAAATAAGCTGGTGCCACATACAGGAAGATGTGTTTGAAGTTGAGTAATGTTGCAAATAATAAAGCTGCTTCCAGATTGCGACCCTACAAAGATCAGTAAAAGCAACATACTACCAGCAGTACAGAAGTCAATGTAAGATATTGGCAATAAACAATAGAACACTTTAAAACATCTGAAATGACTTCATGAAAATGCCCAGAGTAAAGCACCTGCCATGTCCATTCTAGCTCTTGTCTGAAGGAAATTTTTTGGACTTCAAATAAATATTGAAATTTCCCATCTGACTAGGGACTTAATATTCACTAAATTCATTCCACGAGAAATTTAGCAACACTAATGCAAATCTTTCACAAAAAATTCTACAAACATTTATTAAGCTTTTAAATTAGAAATATTCAAAAACTCACCTCATATATTCTTACTACAGACAGCATCAAGATCCCAAACAGGAATCCATTGTACTGAAAATGAATATCTGTACATCGTCTTAAGAAATGCTAATATAATTTTTCTCTAAAAAAAATTTAACTTTCAATTGCCAAAAGGAAAAAAAATATCCATTTTAAGAGGCAACCAGTTCTTCACATCCTCAATTGTTTCAAGTCAATTTTGAGATTTTAACCCTAGGCTTTCACCTAAAACTTCTTCAGCTGAGTTACAAACAATAAACTACATTTGTGCATAAAATCGTAAATACAGGAGTAGCTGAAGGAACAGTTGGATATGACAATGGGTGAGAAAATGAGAGAAACAGAAATGAGAAGGAGAGAGAGGGGAGGGAAGGATAAGGAAGCAAGATGATAAAAAATCATTCATTATTTTAAAAGGATACGATCAACAATGAGGAGTCCAAAGTTTCCAATCATAAGGACAGCCAGAGAGAGCACAGAATTGGAGAAAACATCTCCCTCTGGACTCCTTTTCACAGGACGCAGACATTTCTCACAGAACCTGGAAGAAAGGAAACAGAGAGCTTTTGATCATTTTCATACATTGTAAGCAGTGTTTGCCTCTTAGGAAAATTAGTTGCTGGACCGAAAGTCCAGCCATCTTGAAAAGTAGCTGGACTGAATGTCTGCCAGGTGGGAAAACTTATCAGCCCGTTCTGAAAGTTGTCAGCCCCGGGCAGACGGTCCAGCCTTAATTTCTAACACTGATTGTAAGCAATAAATCAACTAGCCACTAAGAGGGAAATCATTAATCTGTAAGGTTTATAAAACCACTAAAATCCATTAACATCATTAAAATTAATATTTGTACTTGAGGTTTTGTAAAAAGAACTTAAACCTATGTAAGGAAAGCCAGGTAATTAAAAATTATATTTTTTGCCTATTGTTCAATATGTATGCAACTTGTGTTTACATCATATTTCACATTTTTTGTGATCACAAAGTACCTGTTAGTATAGAGTGATGAAAAAGCATCTTAAATAGTAACAATCATACCAAAAAAAAATGTCTACAAAATAACTTCAAAAGCAATTCATAAATTCCAATGTGTACTTGCACTTTTTCTTATTCACTTACTCTTTTACGGCATAGATGTAAACAAAATCTGTAATTATGACAGAAAATCTCTGGAACAAAACTGTGGCATGGCTTGCATAGTTGAGGTTTTTTATCACCACAATCTGTGGGTCCACGTATTTTGCAATATGAGAGAGCAAAAACTCAAACCAGGCAAAGAAGGGAGGGTAATCCAACGTCCATTCTGATGTGGCCTAAATAGATTTAAAAAATCTCAAGCATTGTAATTCTAAATAATAAGATGTATATTTCCACAAAAAAAAGCTATTTTGTGATTATCTGATTTGTTAAAAAGATCCATCTTACCAGTATATTTTACTTCAAGATAAGATTAATCATATAACACTGTCATTGCTACAGCAATAGATTTCACAATATAAAAATGACAATTTACTTTCACTATGTCTTGGTCTGTTATTCCTCCTGAATGCCTAGTATTAATTCTGTTAACTTTGACAATTATACAAAAATACTCCAAACATACCTCATAGTACCACTTTGACAATGGCAAACTATTGGTTACTGCTAACCAATTACGATGGACCTCAAAGTCAGTAGAGTGACTGAAAATATAATTTCAACAATGTGAACACAATGACTGACATATCTTGTCATAGTGCATGCCCCACTTTTAAAGTTAATACAATGGAGGATTTACAAATCTGTAAAGATTTCTTGGTTCCTCTGGGTCAGTATTCTGATGTTTAGTAAACTGGAAGATGTTTTGGCAACTTGAAGAGGTGAGAGGTAAAATGAAAATCTGAGAGCTTTTGCAGCACAGGGGGCATGCTAACTGACTATCATTAAATTTACGGTTATGTGAAACTATTAAGCACATATCAGATATACACAGCCATTGTCAGTCACATGCACTAGAAACAGACAGGTCTAGGCGAAGGGGACACCCTCCTCCCTTCATTGCCTTTGTCACAATACATGTTCTTAAGCCCTCAGCACGAAGTTTCGAGGAGTAGCACTACCATCAAATGTTTCTGCAGGTATATGTGGCGCTTGAAAAAAAGCTTCCAGATAAGCCCCTTTCCACACACACACTCGGACTCACTCCTGAAACTTGCTTGTTACGAGCCTGATATGATGCTTACAGATACACTTTGTGGTCACTGTATTGTATGTTACTCGGGTTTTAAATACTCACTAAGTTGGAATAAGAAGAATTTTCACAGCGGTAACAAAAGCCGCAATGCCCCACACATTTTGCATTTTCGGCAGCACACGTGGGAATGTGTATATACTATCAACCGATACTGCACATGACGTCACTTCCTCAAAAGACTACGTCAGTACAACTGCACTAAACGGTGACTAAACACGGTACGTGTAGTAGGCCTACTGTGTATGTTTAGATATCCTAGATTATGTACTCAGAATTATCTAACAAGGTAGAAATTGCATTTCACTTTTATTGGGATACTGCCATGACATCTGGGTGCGATAAACTTTGGAGGGTAAAACTCGGACGTCAACGATCACGATCTACATGTAAAACCATATCCAAAACCCAACGGAAGTTTGAGAAGATGGACATGATAACATAATTTTTTTCTACATTTATTGATTTTTATTCATTTCTGTCTTTGATTTAATAAGCTAAATAAAGAGAGGGACCAACGTAGAT